AGTATATGTTGTTCATTATATTCCACAAATGAGTGAGATTATGTGATACTGATCTTTCTCTGACTGGCTTATTTCGTTTAGCATAATGCTCTCCAGGTCCATCCATGCTGTTGCAGATGGTAAGGGTTCTTTCTATTGTACAGCAGCATAGCATTCCATTGTGTAGATGTACCATGGTTTTCTAACCCACGCATCTGCTGATGGGCACTTAAGGTGTTCCCAAATCTTAGCTATTGTAAATTGCGCTGCTATGAACATAATGGTGCCTATGTTCTTTCTGATTGGTGTTTCATGTTTCTTGGGATATATTCCTAAGAGTGGAATTACTTGAGTTTCTTCAAACAAATTAAAAATTGAACTCCCATTTGACCCAGGAAAACCTCTGAAATATTGTAAGTGGAATCCCAAGTATGCTAGTGAGTACGTGCATCGCAGCCCTATTGGGAAATGTGCTAGGGGTTACTGTCCTCTGAAGAGATATAGCATCTGAAGGGGCGGTAACATATTTCCCTGAAAAATGTTCACCTGAAACCCAGTTCTGATAGAGGTTAAAGCTGCTGCCTTCAGGCTGTAGCTACCAGCATAATGAGAAAGCCAAGTTGATAACTGGCTTAGGGCTGGGTCTGTTCTGGATCTTCCAGTCAGCATGGCTCCTATCAGCTGAACATCAGATGACCAGATGAGCCTCTTTGGGGCTGTTTTTCTTAAGTAGCTGTGCACATCTCTCTAGTTTCCCAAGGAGTCCTGAAAGCAATTTTGTAACTTGGTCACTCATCCTTTCAATCACACTGATGTCAAATAGAATTCATCAATGGTTGTTAATAACAAAGTCAGGCGGCTCTGCTCAGAATGTACAGGTGCCAGAATGTGAAGGGAGTCTTGCGCTGGTCATGTTAAAATCCCTGTTACTGTTCAGATGGCTGTATTGCTGCTTCTTCCCTGGGTTCTCAGAGCACCTCCCACCTGTCCCCACCCTGCCATGTGTGGTGTACTGAAGGTCCCTTTTTACTGACCTGGTACCATGGAGCATGGCACTTCTGTTAAAAATGATTTTCTACAGCATCTATAAGATGGGGACTATAGTTAATAATACGGTATTGCATAATTGAAAGTTTCATGCATCTTATCGCAAAACACATTTACATTCTGTTAGGGCAGTGGTCGGCAAACTCATTAGTCAACAGAGCCAAATATCAACAGTACAATGATTGAAATTTCTTTTGAAAGCCAAATTTTTTAAACTTAAACTATATAGGTAGGTACATTGTTACTAACTTAATTAGGGTACTCCTAAGGCTTAGGAAGAGCCACACTCAAGGGGCCAAAGAGCCGCATATGGCTCGTGAGCCGCAGTTTGCCGACCACTGTGTTAGGGTGTCAGCCCCCAAATGTTGTTTTCTATAAGTTCTAAACTTAATCAGCCATCCTACTGTCCCAGGAATCCTACTATTCTATTACCTTTTTAAGATATAAGCCAACCCCAGCAAGTGGGTGTGGCCTTAGGTATAAAAGGCCAGTCTTTCCAGCGGCCACTTCACTTTGTCTCCAGGGTAGGCTGACGAAAGTCGGAGCTGCCAGTTGAGCGCAAAGAGTTCCTACGACTCTGATTTCGAAAGAACTTCCAGAGGTGAGTCAACTAATTTTAAAATCTGGTGAGTATGGGATTTAAAGTAAATATCTTCATGCCTACGCTCTCTTAGACAAATACTTTCAATTTATTTGTTAGAATGCATGGATCTTCTCCAAGCTAACAAGTAGATTTTCTAGTTAATTGAATTGACATCGATATTTAAAATATCTGTGATTAGAGCATTGCAATATATTGATATTTGCTATAATAGATTACTTGATTATTTTTATTTTATTACCATATTACTAGTGGATTATTTTAGGCCTTAAAAGAGATTTCGTTAGTTTTTGTGCAATTATGGAAATCATAAACTATCTAAAATGTTAAATATAATGTATGCATGTAAAAATCTTCATACATATTAACCTAAAAAAATTGTGTTCAAATACTTAGAAAAACCTTGTTAAGATCATATTTGCAGTCTCCAGGCTTCATTTGAAAACTTTGAAATAGATCTGAACAATTGTAAGGCTTTCCAGGAAGTGGAACTGGACACATGGAAGAATATCAGAAATAAAGATGAGCCAGTCACGCTTCCATTAACTGCATCTCTGGATTTTCTAGTGTAGAGACAACATCCCAGTGTTTTTGTTTTCATTTTGAAAAAAAAAATTGATTCCAGAGAGATTTAAGGAAAGAAAGAAAGAGAGAGAGAGAGAGAGAGAGAGAGAGAGAGAGAGAAACATAGATAAGAGAGAGAGAAACATAGATAAGAGAGAGAGAAACATGGATTGGCTGCTTCCAGCATGCTCCCTAACTTGGTATCAAACCCACCACCTGAGCGTGTACCCTGATTGGGAATCAAAACTGCCACCTTCTGGTGTTTGGGACAATGCTCCAACCAACTGATCCTCACCAGTTAAGGAGATTTAAAAAAAAAAAAATCAATTGATTACTTGCTGATTATCAGTGTAGTTTGAGCATGCACCAATTCAAAATGTGAAGGTGCTATGATGGGCTAAATAAACTGAGTTGGGAAAAAAATTATTTTCCTGAACTGGAAATAACAGAAAAATTTACAATATCTTATTTAAAAGGGAGAGTTTTGCTATTAAAGTTAAGGCATAAATTCAACTATGTATAGTTTAAGGATTTCAAAGTTAAAGTCAACACTTTAATTAAATTAAACCAGTGTAGTTTAACCAGATCAGTTTGATGTTTGGTTCATTCCAGTATATACCTGAACTGGTATTCAAACCGGAAACCTTGGCATGTTGGAACAACGCTCCAAACAATTGAGTCTAGCAGAGGGGGGCTGAGATCATTGTTGATTTTAAACAGAAAGGATGCTGGGGACCATCTTGTCCCATTTTCTCATTTGTGTCTTAACATAAACCCAACATGTCTAGATTTGCTTTGTCTACGTTTGTACTGGTGGTAAATTAATGAGAAGATTCGATACCTACTTAACAGGTAGATAGAGCTCAAGCAGACATATCTTTATCCAACGATCTTCCTTTCCTCATCTGTGAAGAAGAATGACTTTCTGTACCTCTCTCTCTTGTTTTGTCTGCCTTTTATTTTAATTTTAGAAACATGGATTCAGACACCTTTCAAGTCTTGCAGAAGGAACTCACCTGCTCCATCTGCATGAACTACTTCCTAGACCCGGTCACCTTAGATTGTGGGCACAGCTTTTGCCGTCCCTGCCTGTTCCTTAGCTGGGATGCATCCCAGACTCCCATGTGCTGCCCTCATTGCAGACAAGTGTCGAAGAAGTCAGATTTGAAAACCAACACCCATCTCAGGAACATGGCTTCCCTGGCCAGACAGGCCAGAGATGATCCTGTCGACAGCTCTCCGGAGCAGATCTGTGAGGCACACGATGCTGCAAAGTGGGTCTTCTGTGACACTGACAGGAACCTGCTCTGTGGGCTCTGCTCTGATTCCCTGGAGCACATGCTTCACAGCCACCGCTCAACCCAACGGGCTGCTGAGGAATTTAGGGTAAGTGGTGCCTCTCGTGCAATTTGGTAGATGTAGGCTTCTAAGTGAGAGAGAAAGATGAGGATGAGGATTAAAAAAATTTATTGATGAGAATAGAGCTGGTGGAACTGTTGACGTTTCAATGTAAATTCCAAAATATAAATGTATCCGGGCAAAGCTGTTGGCCAACATGGACACTATAACCAGAGCTGTGCTAAGCCTGTACTAAGGGAGATTTCCTTAGATATATTGTCTAAATATGTAGGATTGGTGCTATTGTGGGGCAGGTGGCTAGCACCGGGAACACTAGCTTCTGATGCAAGTTTGTCTTCTTCATAGTCAGGATAGATGAAAATCTGGGTGCCAATTTCCCAAGAAATGGTTATTTTCAGTAGGGTCTCTCCAAACTCATTGTTATGTTTCTGTCACCGCTGATATTCAAAATATAAGAATAAAATGAGATTAATATGAAAAGATCAGACCTCTCCATTTTAACTCAAGGCGACAGTGTTTTCAACGTCTGCCTTTACTAGTAACCATAAAAAGAGGATATAATTTACAGTAACCATCTTAGGTGTCACTAAACTTCATGGTTATTTTGCAGGAGAAACTTCTCAAGAGGATGGGCTCCTTATGGAATATGTCTAAACAATTGCAAAACAATCTGAAGCTAGAAACTAGCAAAGCCGAGTCACTGGAGGTAAGAATGAATATGTTCTGTTTATTTTTTACTTTGATATATTTATGCAGATTGAGAAATTCTGGTTTATAGTTTTCGGTAAATTGAAGTTAATGAATAATGCTTAAATGATAATAGTTTCTGCCCAGGAAAAAGTAGTCATTTTAATATATATATATATATATGGTAAAACAATGCATGCAGTTCACCCTCTGCACTCATGGAAGCTAGAGGGAAGAATGCTAATACAGTTGACTTTGGAACAGGGCAGGAGGCTAGGGTCCCAACTGCTTGCAGCCAAATATCCACATATAACTTTTGACTTTCCCACAATTTCCTTATTTCTTCTTATCTATGAGGCATTGTTTGCAGGACCCAAGGGATACCAAATTCCAGGGATATTCAAGTCCTTTATATAAAATTGTGTAAAACAATGCATACAGTTGACCTTCTGCATTATTGGATTTGCAACATCAGGTCAAATATATCATCTTTGGTCTGCGCCGACATGAATCTTCAAGGAAACCTGCACACATAGATGTTGTTCAAAGGTTAATCAGCTGTGTGTATGCAAGGCTTGAGAGGTATTCCCAGTATAACTTTGAAGGTTTGATAAATCTTTTCAGAAACAGAGTATAAGACAAAACCACACTAAGTTTGACTGTGAAGGAGAGGAGAAAAATAAAGTAGGACCAAGAGAAAAAAAAATAGAGAATTTAAAAAATTCTGTATATTATGGTGTATACTTAAATATTTTTAAATACTTAATAAAAAATCAAGCAAAGGAGCAATAAAAAAGAAGGTAAAGGAGAAGAAATAATTGATGGAGTAAGAACTGTGAAGAAGCATTCCAGGGACCCTTTATTTATTTATTTACTAGAGGCCCAGTGCACGAATTTGCACACCAGTAGAGTCCCTCAGCCTGGTCTGCAAGATCAGGCCAAAACCGGCTCTTAGACATCCCCCGAGGGGTCCCAGATTTTGAGAGGGTTCAGGCCAGGCCCAGGGACCCCACCAGTGCATGATTGGAGCAGGGGAGGGACACGGGAGGTTGGCCAGCCAGGGAGGGACTGTGGGAGGGCTCCTGGGCATGTCTGGCCTGTCTCTCTCAGTCCTGATCAGCCAGACCCCAGCAGCAAGCTAATCTATGGGTTGGAGTGTCTGCCCTCTGGTGGTCAGTGCATGTCATAGCAAGTGGTTGAGCGGCCTTATCATATCATTAGCATATTACGCTTTGATTGGTTAAACAGCCAACCAGTTGACCGAACACTTAACATATTAAGCTTTTATTATATAGGATTTTAAAATTTTTATTGGTTTCAGAGAGAAAGGGTGAGAGAGACAGAAACATCATTGATGAGAGAGAATCATTGTTGGGCTGCCTCCCTAACCACCCCTACTGCAGATCGAGCCTTAAACCCTGACATGTGCCCTGACCTGGAATTGAACCGTGGCCTCCTGGTTCATAGTGGACACTCAACCACTGAGCAACACAGGCTTGGCTAGAATTGGAGCCTTAAGAGGGCTTTATTTAATAAGAAAAGAGACTAGGAACATAGGGTCAGGGTGAACAGAAGGGCTTGCAAATATTCAAGACACTTTGAGGTATGAGACAAAAAGTTTCTTGATGAGACTAAGGAAAAAAATGGAAGTTTGACAATCTTTTTAGAGTGAGAATGTGTAAGCCCTTTGATCCTCTATCTGTGCAGGAGTATGTGGACATTAGGAAGGTGATGATCAAAGCTGAATATCAGAAGATTCATCAATTTCTCTATGAGGAGGAGTGCCTCCATCTGGTTGTTATGGAGAAAGAAGCAAAGGAGTACTTCGATAAACTGGAGGAAAGCAAAGTCAGAATGACCCAACAGATTGAAAACCAGAGAGAAATGTTCAGAGAGCTGAAGGATATGTGCCACAAGTCAGATGTGGAGCTGCTCCAGGTGAGAGGGGAATGTCCATCAGTTGAGACTGGAATACTTTTCTGGACAATGTGGCTATGATGCCTGCATACACCATTACCCTCAGCTAAGTGATTATGCTCCTGGACTCCCATCATGGTGTCCATCCAGTCAGTCACTTATTTTCTTGTATCCTGGTAATCTTTGTGAGCTCTTTGCCTAAGTAGCTGACATAAGATAATGTGATTTCAGTGTAATCTGAAGCACCACCTCCACAGACAGATTGTCCAAATTCAGTCAATCTCTCAGCATGGCAACATTAACTTTGCTGTGATAATTTTCTATTTACATTCACCTGATCTGCTGTCACTCTCTGTTACTGCCATAAAAGCAACTTGCTAAAGACATTGAGGCTTTGACCCTTGCCTAGGCACGATTTCTAGAATTTGGCAATCAATTTTCAAGCTCTCTCTGTTTTTCATTGGATGCCCTGTTTTGATTTTATTGTTACAAATGGTCAGATCTCTCCTTGGGAATAACAGGGGGCAATGAGTGATATTGGAAACCTAGGTCTACTTGCATCACTTCACTTCTCTGCCTGACATTCTGCCATGCTCAGAACACCTTGAGGAAGCTCTGTGTTTTAGTTTAAGTGCTATTATTAAGATGGCCTCTGATTGTTCCTTTAAGGGAGAATAGGAAAAAGTACAGTATTAAAACAAATGCTAGAAAATATGTAAAAGGAGATAATTTGTATCTTTACCTTCTTTTTCTATTTGTTTTGCAGGATTTGGGAACCGTGCTGGAAAGGTGAGCTTACACTAATTCTTTCTGAGAAAGTCATTCTCTTCTGGGTGAGGGCGCTGTACATGTTTTGACTATCCTCTGTAGGTATTTCCTGTTTTCTTTCAAAAATGGCCCTGAGGCCTTCTGGTCTCAGAAGTTTCCTTCCCATGTGGTTTAATTCATATGTACCTAAAACATCTGAGCTTCTGAGTTTTCTTCCAGCTCCTCTCCCCATCCTCTTCCTATTTAGTACAATAAACGTTACAGGAGTGATTTTTTTAAGGTATCACAGAAAAGGTACCTACACTGCACAGGTGGAAGGTGAAAAGAGCAGGAACAGGAGCTTTGCTATGAATGTATGGGGGTTGATTTTGTTCCCAGCACTAGCAATGACTCAGCCTGTTCCATCACTGCAGGTCAGACCTCAGGGGAATGACGTCCTGGTGCCCCCAAAGAGTTAGATCTTCAAGAGCAGAGCTGCCAAGTGGAAGTTAGGTTTTCTTACTTGTCTGGCTCTATGGACTCTCCTTTTCAGACACTGAATGTCTCATTGGTGACAACTCCCAGACTCAAGTCCCAAAGGCTCTGCCTGGATGTTTTGCTCCCTGTCAGATACCCAGGGGTTTGCATTCTCTGGGGTGGAGCAGATGGAGGAAATGATTCTGAATCATTTTAGAAATGCAATAATATCTGAGGAGAATAGGGAAGTTGACATGTGATATAATTTATAAATTCAGAAAAGAAGTAAGGTAACATTTGTTATATCCCCAAGAGGGTAGACTACAATGTATACCCCATTAGCTCAGTGTGGGAGGATCCTGATGAAATATCTTGTAAGAAAAGCTATGATATTTAGAGTAGGTTGTGTGACTAACTTTTGCCTCCAAATGCCACTGATGTCATTATATACAGGACTGAATTGGTGCAGAATCAAATGCCTCAGCTAGTGAATCCCGACCTCACTTCCTGGTGCAGCACTGGACTCCTGGACATGCTGAGCAGGTTCAAAGGTAAGGGCAAGCCATATGGCATCAGGCCTCAATTTCTTTGTGGTCCTTAGGCTTATAGGTTCTTTTTCTATTTTAACTTTATCTTTTCTGTCATGAAAGCAGTCCATCACTTTCCAAAATTAGTATCTTCTTCCCGTATATAGTCATATCACAATGAACTTTGCAACTTATTGAAAATACAATGGAAGATACCTATTTTTATTGACGTTTGGAATACATAGAGGAAGAGAAGAGCAATGAGGTTGACCATGTGGTCACGGGGTGATAGAATATTTAGTTCTCAGATTAGCCATCAATATTGTATGTTTACTCAGTTACCCAGCTATTAAATGTTTACATATGACACTGATGAATTTAAATCTGTTGTATATTGTAAGTGCATATATCATGCATTTCACTAAGAATATTTATTATTTATGAAATCAGAAAGTCCAAAAAGGGACTGAAAATGTTATAAGCAGAATAATTTTAGTGCTGTTAGATTGATGTCAAAGCCACTGACAGAGAAGGATCTGTGACCAGGGTCCAATCATATTAGGCTCATAGTAGAGAGCAGATCTAAATACCCAGAAATGAAATTGAGATTAGACTGAACGCAGGGTCTGAACAGATAATGAAAATCCAAAGCATTATCTTCAACATTTACTAATTTATGCATAATATGTATTTCAATCTAATATTTAGATTCTTGAATATGTAGCTGATGCCACTTATATTCCAACTAGAGGCCCGATGCATGAAATTCCTGCAAGGGGCTCAGACTTCCCAGCCCCATCTTGGTCTAGAAGGTCATCTGGACAGTTGTTCTGCTGTTCAGTATAATTAGCATATTAACTCTATTATATAGAACTAGCGGCCGAATGCGAGAAATTAGTGCAAGAGTAGGCCTTCCTTCCCCTGGCTGCCTTTCCCTCTGGCACCTGGGACCTGAGTTTCCCTTGCAGCCCTGGCTTTGTCCGAAAGGTTGTCCAGAAGGACATCAAAAGGATGTCTGGTCTAATTAGCATATTACTCTTTTATTATTATAGATAACAACCCACATAATAGCAAAGTGCTGTCTATTTCTTAAATAGTGTCAAGGACAATCAACACAAGAAGAGTTTTCTAAAGGAAAGAAAAGTTTTTATGTGTGACCTGAAACAACCCAGAGGTTGACACTAAATCTCTGCTTCACACAGTCACACCCTTGGTGATATGTGCAGAGGTTTTGTTTTCTTCTTCTGTGTACTGTGAAGGACTTGTGCTGTAGAGGTAGTAATAACACTTGCTCTTTGTAGATGAGACAGTCTGCACTCTCTTTGCTTTCTTTATTTTGTACTTCCTTGGAGGAGGGACAAATGAAGAGACTCTGCTCCTCAGGCCATGGAAATTCCATTTATTGACCTGATTTTGCCTCTTTCTGCAGTGGATAATGTCCTGACTGCTGAAACCATCAGTCAAATCATGAGCCTTTCTGAGGATGTGAGAGGTGTGCTGTTTGGAAATAACCATCATAGCATGCCCAGGGAGCCTCAGAGAGTGCGGAGTTTTGCTGCATGGGGAAATCATACGTTCATCTCCGGTAGACATTACTGGGAGGTGGATGTGCCACGCACCTCGAGTTGGGTTCTGGGAGTGTGTAAAGATATCCTCATAAGAGAGAATGATTTCATTATTGATTTTGAAGAAGCATCTCTTCTATTCGCCTTGAAGCTGAATGATCATTATTATCTCTCCACTAACCGCCCACTCTTAGTTCATCATGTGAAAATGCCTGTGGGTAAGATTGGAGTGTTTCTGGATTATGACAAAGGTATTGTGAGCTTCCATGATGCTGCCGATGGTTCCCTCTTATGTAGTTTGGCTTCTTCCGCCTTCTCTTTCCCTCTGAAGCCTTTCCGTTGCGTTGATGCTCAATGAGAAGTTAAGTCTTGCCCTAGCTGGATTGGCTCAATGGATAGAGCATTGACCTGTGAACTGAAGGGTTCCAGGTTTGTTTGATTCCAGTCAAGGGCACATGCCTGGGTTGCGGGCTCGATCCCCAGTAGGGGGTGTGCAGGAGGCAGCCAATCAGTGATTCTCTCTCATCATTGATGTTTCTATCTCTCCCTCTCCCTTCCTCTCTAAAATAAAAAAAAAAATCTATTTTTAAAAAAGTGAATTAGATTTTTTTTGAAAAAGAAAAGTTAAGTCTTGGCCATTTCTTTGATGAATTTCCATGTCTCTGGAAACTATTTTTATGAAATGTCCTGTGAAGCACCAGGGCAATACCTAGCACATTGCAATTTAAGGGAATGCAATTATTGTATGTTTATAAAATGGTGTCACCACATTAAATGTTTAAATGTGTTTATAAACTATCTTTTCTGTTTTCTAACATATATATAATAAATAATTGAGGTGCAGTGCATGAACTTTGTGCACTGGGGGGTTTGTTACTCAGCCCATCCTGTCCCCTCTCACAGACTGGGAGCCCTCAGGGGATGTCCTACTGATGGAGGTGACCGGGCTGATCAGGGGAAGACACCAGCCCCATCACCCCACTGCTGCTGCCACTGCCAGCCACTGCAGCCTCCAAGGTGTTTTCATCAACACGGTCTACAGTCCCTTCACCATGAAAAAAATGGCAACTTTCTTTAGGCATTTTCAAGATGTGTCTTTCACAGGATATGACATTTCTTTCTTTATTTCTTTTTTTACCCTCACCTGAGGATATGTTTCCATTGATTTTTAGAGAGCTTTGAAGAGAGAGGGAAAGTCAGAGAGAAACATCAATGTGAGAGGGAGACATCAATTGGTTGCCTCCTGCATGAGCCCTGACCTGGGCCCCAGCCAGGGAGGAACATGCAAACTAGATACATGCCCTTGATCAGAATCAAACCCAGACCCTGCGGTCAGCAGGCTGAGGTCTATCCACTGAGCCAAACTGCCTAGAGTAGGATATGACATTTCTTAGCCCCTCCAGTAGCAGACCTTAGTTTTTTCCTTCAGGAGTAAGGTGGAAAATCCCTAGATCACCTTCTTGGATTCTTATTACCCAAGTTACCAAGAACACTGCAAGTGGTGGCATGCAGGGAGCTTAGCCAATGAATGGTCAGAAAAGGTGTTTCTTCTGCAGCTCACACGCTGCCACACCAAGCCCTGTGGAAGCCATCTGGGGCACGCCCTCCACCTGCAATGTGTCTGCTGGGCTTGGGGTGTGCTGCCTGCCCAGAACTCTTCCCTCCCTCTGTGGCTGCGGCACGGGAGCTGGCCTCATTGCCGAGGCAACGACGGCAGCGTCCCGCCCCAGCCACTATGGGCACCACCATCTTTGTGTCAGAGTGATGGTTAATTTGCCTATTACCCTTTTATTAGATTAGATATTTTATTGTTGATAGTATTACAGATGTCTCCCATTCCCCCATACTCCCAGCCTCCTAGCCCCTACCCACAACCACCACCCTGATTGCCCCGTCACCACAATATTGCCCCGTCCATGGGCTATACATATAAGTACATAAGTTTTTTTGCTTTCTCTTTTCCTTCCCCCACACCCTCCGCCACATTGAGGTATGTCAGTCTGTTCCACGACTCCAAGCATCTGGTCTTCTGTTGGTTAATTCATTTTGTGATTTCCCCACACCTATCTTACAATTCACCCTCTCTACAGCTGTGATTAACCTATTGATTAAACTCTTCAACAAATATTTAGCCTTAATTATTGCATTTTTAAATTTTACATAAATTTTATTTTTCTTCAATATGATGGGAACCATCTGCTGAATTTGTTAGTTGTATGAGGACTCAAACTCAAAATAAGATTGTATTTACATAATTTGAACATTGAAACCTCTGTCATATTATATTGTTAGAGAGTGCCCTTTAACTCATTGATTATATGTAGTGTATTGTTAATTATGTGCTAATGTAACTAAGACCTTTTACATTCTTAACTAAACATCATTATTCACTACCCATTTCATTGAATATATGATGTGGCTCTTCCCTTATATTTGAAATACTAGCAGGTGGAAGTATACATGGGTGTTTATAAGTA